CAGAGGTTAAATATCATTAACTATCGTGTCCACAGTGAGTGGTGGGGAAGTTTGAACCCAGGACCGTCTGTACCAGCACTGTGCAATAGAAACTTTTGCAATGATGGGAATGTTCCATATCCACACTATCCAGTTTTGTAGCCACTAGCCCCATAGAGCTGTTGAGCACTTGAAATGTAATGTAACTGAAGAACTGGATTTTTAAGTTTATTTAACTATCTTAAAACAACTGCATGGGGCTGGTAGCTACTATATTGGACAGCCAATTCTAGATTGCTTTTCATCCGTACACCATACCTCTCCAATTCATACCCCTACATCAAAGCACATAACAGGAAAAGAAAGAAAAGGAAGGTATCACATTTTGATTCACACAGAGCCTGAGTATTCAAAGCAGTTTGATGAACCAGGAACAGAGAAGTGGCTTTTGTCCCATGGACATTCTGAAGTAGCCAGCAGTAGACTTTTGTCTAACATTCTTCATTCTGATTTTTCTTCCTGTTGAATTATCTATGTTGTACCGTCATCATCCTCCCTTCAGATCCTTGTGCTCCAGGGTAAGGGCAAGCTTGGAATTCTATTTCTTTATTATGAGTGGTTTTGAACAACACTCTAAATACCTCCTGATCCTGGCTTTGGCTGTTGACTTTGTCCTTACTGGGTTTCAGATTCCCTCATTTGAAAACTAGGGTTTTTGAATTAAAATGGTCTGTACAGGTTCTTTCTAGATATAACAATAACTTCAGCTAATTGTTTGTTTTTATTGTGAATTGAGTGAAGATAAACAGACAAGATCATCAGCCTTACTTTCAACCAAGCATACGTTTTGTTTCATCTCAGTGATTACACTCCCCTCTCTGTAACAACAGTTATCCTGCACATTTTGCAAGTGTCCTCCTGAAGGCACACAGCCTTCTCAGTCCTAGAGTCCTAGAGTCCTCGTGACTCTGTCTCTCTGTGCCATTACCTCTGCCACCGTCTCTGCTGTTGTCACTTTTCAGGGTAGGATCTCACGCTCCACTCGTGCTCTACCTCCTGATGATCCTAGGGTCTTCTATTCCTGAAATGAAAGAGTAACTACTCCCCCCTTTTAGTTATACATCTTCTACAGTTACAGTTGTGACGATTAATCCTGCTAACAATTACTCACAATTGAAATGTAAACTCCTATCAGCATCATCCCCCATCCTTTTTCATCAGATCCATCTGGACAAGAGGAAAACTGCTCAGTGGGGAATCTTCCTGCCTTACCGCCCTCATAAGCTTATAAGCCAGCCACTTCGTGCCTTTATAGACTCCCATTTTTGATAGCCAATGGCTAAGTTGCCCACTCCATCAACCCAGTGCAGTGAGGAAACAAGCTTGATCCTTGATATGAAGAATGCTTCCATTTTGGTTAGAATCATGAGCAACTGCAACCATAAACAAAGGTCCAGTTCATCAAATTATAGCAATACCACTTGCTCCCAGTATCAAACTTCTTTATCTTCATTTGCTCGAGTTCTGGTCAGCTAGCCATCCAAGCTAGGTCAAGTGGGTACTATCAGATAATTGTTTTAATGCCTGAGGTCCCATGTTGTTTTTAGGTACTGTGGAGTCCATTCTGACTCTTAGCAACCCTATATAGGGCTTCTTGAGGAGCAGCTAGTGGGTTGAACTGCCAAACTTGTGGTTAGCTGCCAAGTGCTTATCCTACAGTGCCTCACCAGCATGCCTGATAGTTTTATGACTCTGTAGTAAATTTTTACATTGTTAAAATGTATGTACAAAGCCCCAAATTAAAAAAAAAAAAGTTAGAAAGCTGTGCAACTTTTGAAGTCTGTTGAATAACTCTGTTCATCTTTCATGCTCCTTTTGTGAATGGATGGCTTGACTTTGAATAGGATACCGAGTAGAGCCTGTACTTTTCTAGATCCTTCATTTGGAGCAGAGGGATGTGGTTGTTGTTCGTATATAGCTCAGGGAATGCATTGTCACATTGAAATAATATGTTCGTTTAATATGTGATGGCAGTTAAGTCCTTGAAGCAAATAAAGAATTTGAAATGTCAGAAGCATAAGTTGTTTTGTTTGTTAATGTGTGGCTCTGCATGATAAGCACTGGACTGTAAAGTGTAAATTCGGTGGTTTGAGCCCACCAGCCACCCTGTGGGAGAACGATGAAGCTTTCTGCTCCTGTAAGAAGCAGGCTCACTAGGAGTTGGAACCGACTCAGTGGCCCTTAGCAACAATGTATGAACAGAACTCTGATGCTTTTACCTTTATTCTCATTTTGAAAATAAATATTTCAGTTCATTTAAACTACTTAAATTTAGTTTACATATGAGGGAAAGTAAAAAAGTACTGCTATAAAATCTTAGAAACCTTTATTAAACCAAAATGTGACACTGTTGTTTCTTGATATACTAAAGCTTAGTGATGATAGTATTAAAAATTCTGTTGTTCTTCAAACATTGATTAGTTTGCATGTTTGGGTGATGGTGACTCATCACTCAAAACTGGCATTCCAGTAACTCACTGTCTAGTCATCACAAGAATTCCTATGAAGTGTAAGTCATGTGATAGAAATCATAGGAGCCTTAGAAAGGCGCGCTCCATTTGTTTACCTTATCTTGTTCTTAAAAGAATCTACAACTTATTCAAATTAAGCATCCTACTGTCATTCTTAAGGAGCTCTGGTAGCATAGTGGTTACGAATCAGGCTGTAAACCTCAGGGTCAGCAGTTCGAAACTGCCAGCTGTTCCGCGGAAGAAAGATGAGGCTTTCTGCTCCCGTAAAGATTTACAGTCTCGGAAACCCTGTACAGGGTCGCTATGAGTTGGAACCGACTCCATGGCACATAACAACAACAACAATGTCATTCTTAGATTTTTATAATCAGTTGTTAGTATTTTGACAATGTAAAACTTAGTTTTACTGAAAATGTTTTATATCTTTAAATTTTTATTAGTCAAACCCACCATTATTTGTTTTTGCTTATGTTGTGCTTTCGCCTAGATTTTAAAATGTTATGAAATGTTCATTCATTTATATAATTGGTGATCATGGTGGTAGTTGTGCTGTGCAGTTAGTTCCAACTCATAGCAAACCTGTGTAGGATTTCCAAGGTTATAAATCTTTATGGGAGCAGAAAGTCTCAACTTTCTCCCATGGAACAGCTGGTTTGAACTGCTGACCTTAAGGTTAGCAGCCTGACTCATAACCATTACACTACCAGAGCTCCTTACTTATATAATTAAATATTTGTTGTTGTTAAGTGCCATCAAGTCAGTTCCAACTCATAGTGACCCTGTATAGGGTTTCCAAGGAACAGCTGGTGAGCTTGAACCGCCAACCTTGCACTTCAAACTGACCTTGCAGTCCAGCACATTAACCCACAGTACTACACCAGGACTCCAATTATATATTACTAAATACATTTTTATAATATTGATCCCAAATATGAGGTCAAGTATGTTAAACTAGATTTTCCAGGTTATTGTACCAATCGTATTTTATAATATACATTTTCCTATATTGTCCTCCAAGGTCTTTTTTTTTTTTTTTTTCCTTAGTGTACATATTTGTATGAACCAGGAAGACTTAGGTAGGAGTATTCATTAGTCTAGGCCACGCTAATTTCTGATGTAGGTAAATCCTAGTGCAATGTGAGTGTGTTGATGAGTATAGTCTATAGAAGTGTCCTAGCTTGAGTGATCTTCTGTATATATAATTTAGGTCTTCCTTCATCAGAATCCTCATTCTATAATCAGTAGTTAGGGAAAGGGTGCAAGGGAAAGGCACCTTAGCCAAGAGGGAACACAGCTCATTTTTATCTTAAGATCATGCCTAGCTGCAGAAGAGATTAGGAAATAATAGTCTAGGAGAAAAAGAAATAGGAGTGAACACAATCATTTCTATCCCAGCCCTGCCATTCATGACTAAGCTATAAATGCTAGTCATTCATTTTTGGTAAGACACTTCATCTCCCTTGACTTCATTTACCTTTACTTTAAAATTAACAGATCTGACAACTTTTCTTTTTTCTTTTTATAAGATTAAAGTGAATGCTCTTGAACCTCTAATGAGGATTGATTTAACAAAACATTTGTCAGATTCAAAATATTCTAAAAAATAAATCTGATGAGAAATAAGAGCTAAGTTATGGTAGAGTTGGTGGTTTTTTAGCTAATTGCATTACTAGCCAACAGATACTGATTCACGTTATCCTGGAGGGGAGAAGAGACTTCATTCTTAGTCCCGACTTTTTAACCTTTTCGTCCGTAAATCAGATGAAAATATAGAACTCATACTATAAATTACAATTTGGAAATTTCAAATATTTTTTATAGACTGCTGGATTAGACAATCATATTATTTTAGCCTGTAATATGGTGTGGCACTATAGGATCAGCACTGGACTATGTAAACCACAAGGTCGGCAGCTCAAACCCACCAGCTGCTCCTTGGAAACCGTATGCAGGGTCCCTATGAGTCGGAACCAACTCAAGGGCACTTAACAACAACAACAGGTTATAGTTTCCTGGACTTTTGAGGACTACAAGGAAATCAAATCATTATTTAGCACACGTTTTGTGATATATTTATATTCCAAATAGTTTATAAATGAACTGTGGAACATAATGCATTTTTAAGTAAAAGATGGTCTGTATTTATATTTCAAAAATGATTTAATTTCTGTACTGCCTTCAGAAGTGAGAATAAAATGATCTTTTATGCTCTTAAATAAACTATTAGGAAATAGAAGTATCAACATGAATAGAGGTTGGCGCTTTATCAACAATGATAGTATGTTAATTAGCAGTTAGAGGTCACAGTCACTCTGTTTACAAGACACATATGACTTGAGCCTTCACTGATTTTAAAAGATGAAAGTATGAATGATTACACAGTAATATTGGTTACTTCTATTAGACTCACAGGCTTTTAAAAACACTTGATAGGAAGAATCGTTTTATGTGATAGTATTATTTCAAACCGTGTGTTTTCTTTCTTTTCAGGACTTCTAATAGTAATCAGACATTATCATCTTGCCATACTATGGAGCCATGTTCATCAGATGAATTTTTCCAGGCCCTTAATCATGCTGAGCAAACATTTAAAAAGATGGAAAACTATTTGAGACATAAACAGTTGTGTGATGTAATTCTAGTGGCGGGTGATCGCAGAATTCCAGCTCACAGGTAATTGCTTTCTAATTTTCTACCCGTATGACTTGTTTCCTTGATATTTTCGTTCTCTGTGTGGAGGTAACATATTCTAATTAATTGTTAGGATGGAATGCTTTGTAAAGGAGGTATTTCAATGAATTTCTACAAAGAAATGCTGCATATAAAATCTTTACATATTAAATGACCTAAAAAAGGTCATTTTCTCTCTGTAGAAGTGCACAAACAAAGCACATCAGCCTCTAAGCTGTCAGTATTGTTTGGCATAAGTATCAGCTACTATAAACAGCTCTTATGCCACACACTACCTGTTAAATAACTTTAAATAAACTCACTGGAAATTAGACTTGTGGGTATTTAGAAACAAAAAACACAGGTGAACTGAAGTGCCTACGTTTTTAAATGCCTTCAGAGTTTTAAATGGCCACATCTATCCTCACTTCTGCATCTTGACCTCCAAGAAGTATGAGGAGCAGTAGTGCTAGGGAACAAAAGCCTGTAACACAAATGAAATGGTATTTCTCGAGGAAAGAAAAGGAAAAGAGAGCTGTTAGTAAAGAATAATTCATTGTTTTCCTTTAGGTAATTACATATTAAACTATTCATTTTTAATCACCACTATAGTGTGGCGCTGTGAGTTAATGCGCCAGACTGCCAAGCCTTCTGAACTGCAAGATTGGTGGTTCAAGGTGACCAGCTGCTCCTTGGAAACCCTATTCAGGGTCACTATGGGTCGAAATGTACTCGACAGCACTCAACAACAACAACAGATGATCTCCATGTTTTTTTATGCCATCACAAACTAATGAACACTCACTTCCAAAGGTTTTTATAAGCTCCCCAAAGTAGAAGTAAAATCATTAGAAAGAATAATGCTTGGTCTCACAGTTTTCAGTGACTAAATCAGCACAGGTTTGTGAAATGTTATTATGTACTATGACAGAAATCCCATGTTATAAGTGTAGATATTACACAAATACTTCAATGTAAATTTCAAAGAGGAACTTAAACTTTCAAATTTCTGAAGCTGAACTCATCACATTACCTGCCTCAACCTGTTGTATTTATATTCTTTCAGTGTATTTTGTTGTTGTTATTCAGTGACATTGAGTTGGCTCCGACTTATATCAACCCCATGTAACAGCAGTATAGAACGTCCAGCCCACAGGCCATATAAGGCTGATGAAATGATTAGGTCTGGCACTGCCAAGGCAACTGCTGTTCCAGCCATCACATTGTTATTGTTGTTGATAAGTGCCGTCCTATCAGTTCTGACCCATAGCGACCCTGTACAGGGTTTCCGAGGAGTGGCTGGTGAGCTTGAACAACCAACCTTGTAGTCCAGTGCGTTAACTCAACCCACAAGGCCACACCAGGACTCCAGCGCCGTCACATTAGGGGTGAGTTAATTAAATGCCTGGCCAAATATAGCAGGCTAATTTTTAAGTTGATAATTTTGTATGATCCACGAATAATGTTATAAATTTTGGTAGAAATATCCCTGCTGTATAACGTTTAAGGAGTAGCTGGTGGGTTTGAACAACTGACCTTATAGTTAGCCATCCAGTGCTTATCCTGTTCTCCAAGACAGAAACCTAGAATTGGTCTCCTTAAAACTACAGCCTTTCTTATCTAATATGATAGCAACAGATAGAACTCCTGTTAACACTGTGTTTTGTATTCATCCAGATTTTTTTCTATGTACCAACCTAATAACAACTGTATAAATTATTTAATTTCAATTTTTTTAAATTAATCTCATCCATTTAGATATGCTGTTGTTAAATGCTGTCATGTCAGTTCCAACTCATAACCACCCTGTCTGTATAGAGTTTGAGGAGCAGTTGGTGAGTTTGAACCACTGACCTTTTAGTTAGCAGTCCAGTGCTTATCTTAAAGAGCCACTCCAAGACTCTATAGAAACATAGATATCCTATTTTATATACATCCACTGCAAAGACTAAAGTGTACCTGACTCAAGCCAGGGGGCTTCCAGTCAGCTCATGTATATGCTGTGGAGCCACATTCAGTACATTAGACAATGACTAAGGAAGAACCAAGAAGAATTTATGCTTTTGAATTAAGGTGTTGGCAAAGAATATGGACTACCCAAAGAATAAACACACCTGTCTGGAAAGAAGTGCAGCCAAACTACTCTTTATAAGCAAAGATGGTGAGAATTTGTCTCACACACTTTGGAAATGTTATCAGGTGGGACCAGTCCCTGGAAAACATCATGCTTGATAAAGAAGAGGATAGTTTTGCCTCTGCTGTTTTTGCTTGATATTAAACTTGAATATTATTATTTGTCAGTAAGTATAAGGAGGCTTCAAGAAGTTTCATGGAAAAATGAAATTGAAAGGTAATGGAATTTTCCATGAGCTTTTAGAAGCCTCCTCATACAGTTTTACTTCATTTTTCTTAATTGTTACGTAGTGTTTTGGTGTAGATGTTGTGTCATTTATTTACATTTCAGATTGATCACTTTAAAATGCAAATAATGAAATTTTCACAGACAATTCGGTTACTCATGTCAAATCCCACTAAAATATGAATCCTTTGAGACACTGTGTGTTGTTTTTGTTGTTGTTGTTAAATGCTGTTGAGTCTGTGCCGATGTATAGCAACCCTTTACTTGGCTTCTGAGGAGCAGTTGGTTTGTTTGAACCACTATCTTATGCCTTCAAGGAAGACCAGTTAAAACCATTATTATACAGATTTACACACCAACCACTAAAATCAGTGATGATGAATGAAATTGAAGAATTCTACTAACTTCTTCAGTCAGAAATTGATCAATTATGCAATCAAGATACAGTGATAATTACTGGTGATTGGAATGCAAAGGTTGGAAACAAAGAAGGATCAGTAGTTGGAAAATATGGCCTTGGTGATAGAAATGATGCTGGAGATTGCATGATAGAATTTTGCCAGAACAATGACATCTTCATTGCAAATACCTTTTTTTAAATATAAAAGACGACTATACACATGGACCTCACCAGATAGAATACAAAGGAATCAAATTGACTACATCAGTGGGAAGAGATAGTATAGAAGTTCGCTATCATCAAGCTAAACAGTCAGGGGCCAACTGTGGAACAAACCGTCAATTGCTCATATGCAAGTTTAGGCTAAAGCTGAATAAAAGTAAAACTACTCTGCAAGAGCCAAAATATGACCTTGAACATATCCCACCTAAATTTAGATAAAATCTCAAGAACAGTTTTGATGAATTAGACATTAACAATGAACAAAGACCAGAAAAACTATGGGATACCATTAAGAGCATTGTACAGGTAGAATATAAAAAGTCATGAAAAACACGGTAAAGAAAGAAAAGACTAAAATTTGCTCTCAGTGGAGAAATGTTAAAGTGAATAGAAGAAATTAGGAAGTAAAGAGCTGAACAGAAATTTTCAAAGGGCATGTTGCAAAGACAAAGGCAAGTATTACAATGAAATATGCAAACACCATGAGTTAGAAAACTAAAAGGGAAGAACACGCTCAGCATTTCTGAAGCTGAAAGAACTGAAGAAAAAAATCAAACCTCCACTTTGAATATTGAAGGATTCTATGAACAAAATGGTGAATGATAAAGAGCGCATCAAGGAAATGGAAGGTGGTGAAAGGAGCTGGGGATAAGAGTCTCATGATTCAATAGTGAATAGTTGTTATCATGACTAATTGTGAGTGTCACAACTGTAAAGGTAGAAATTTTGTAACAAAAAGGGGGAAGTAGTTAATCTTACAGTCCAGGAACAAAGCACCCTAGGACTATCAAGGGAGAAGAGTAGGAGTGGAATGTGGAACCCTATCCAGAGAAGCAGCGACACCAGAGATGGAGGCAGAGATGATGACATGGAGGGAGGGAGCAGCTGAGGACTCTAGATTTATGGAAAGAGAGGGACTCTGTGCTGGCAGCCAGGAGGCAGGCTTGCAGAATGTGCCCTTTCGTTTTTTAAATGATGATATATTACTGAATGTTTTTGTGTACATCCTCCTCCCCCCACCACCACAAAAAAATGTTTTTTAAGCCAGAGGGAATAGAAGCAAATACTGTTGAATGATGATGCTCGGAGGAGATTGTAATTGCAATGAAACGATGAATGTAAAACCAATACTATCCCATGTAAACTATCACTCAGTTCACAGTAAAAACTGAAAGAAAGAAAAAAGGAAATGGAAGGTATACAGAGTTACTGTACCAAAAAGAAAGAAATGATTGATGTTCAGCCATTTCAAGAAGTAGTATATGATCAAGAACTGATGGTACTGAAGGAAGAAGTCCAAGCGTCACTGAAGGCATTGACAAAACACCAGGCTCCAGGAATTATGGAATACAGATTGAAATCTTTCAACAAACTGATGCAGCACTGGAGGAACTCACTAATCTGTGCCATAAAATATGCAATACTCCTTAGAAGCCAATTTGGTGGACTTCGTCTCTCATGCTTCAGACACATTATCAGGAGAGACCAGTCCCTAGAGAAGGACATGATGTTTGGTAAAGTGGAGCGTCAGCTAAAAAGAGAAAGACCCTGCAACAAAATGGATTGGCACAGTGGCAGCAGCAATGGACTCAAGCATAGCAACAGTTGTGAGGATGGCAGAGGGCTAGGTAGTGTTTCCTTCTGTTGTACATGGGGTTACTATGAGTTAGAACTGACTTGACAACATCTAACAACAACATTATTATGACATATTATCATTTTGAAGTGTTATTATTATATAAATATTATAGTTTTGATAACCAAACATAAAAGTTAATACTAACTTTCCAGAGTCATTCTCAGATGTCTTCCATATATTCAGTACTTCTAATTAAATTTGAAATAAATAACTTAGCTTATTTTCAAAAAATAACCATAAACAGAAACTTAGCTTTATGTTTTCTTTCTTTCTTTGTAAAGTCAATTTAATGCTGTATGCTTGTAGCTTTTTTTCTGGATGTTATAAAGCAATCATTGAGCAATAACTGGGTAAATCATTTACCTCCGCAGAAAAGTTTCCGTAATGGTTATTTATTATTCAAAGGAAGGAAGTAGAGCATGAAGTAATTTGTCAGACTTAAAAAGTATTGTACAATTTGTATGAATAATAGATTTCTTAAAAGGCAGCATTTATTAATGAGCATCAACTTTAATATGGTCATTGAGGTGTTTTTTGTTTTTTTTTTTTCTTCTTCTGATGTGTTCTCAGATTGGTGCTCTCCTCTGTCTCAGATTATTTTGCTGCCATGTTCACTAGTGATGTCAGAGAAGCAAGACAAGAAGAAATAAAAATGGAAGGTGTAGAGCCAAACTCACTATGGTCCTTGATTCAATATGCATATACAGGTAATATGTCTATAAGTGTAAGTAGAAACCCTTTTAGATTTATGTTGTATCATTAGACTTCAGATTTCTGCTATGGATATTGCACGCCACAGCTAACAGTTGATTCTTCTAATCACTATCCCTGGTGATACCTGTACAGATTCAAATATCCATATTAAAGCTTTTCATTGGTTATAATATTTAAAGTTCCTAATGGTATTTTAAATATTACTATAGTTATATATATAATATAATTAGATGAACTACATGTTTTTAGATTACTTCTTTTAAAACATGGAAGTTATGTATAGTGGACATAAGCTACTAATTAATGCATTGAAAATGTGCTATTTTTTATTTTAGTAAAAGTTGGGAAGTGTTAAAAATCATTTTTTCATAGTTCATACTTGTTTTTTCTTTTTGGAGTGTTTTTAACCATCTGCATCTGGAATGCATGTACCAAGATCTTATTTAGAAATATCAGTGTGAGCACCAGTTATTTTGTAAGTTAAGATCAATATGATTCCTTAGTTAATGGAATTTCTTTTTATCATTAAGGTCGCCTTGAATTAAAAGAAGACAATATTGAGTGCCTGTTATCCACAGCTTGCCTCCTTCAGCTTTCACAGGTTGTGGAAGCTTGTTGTAAGTTTTTAATGAAACAGCTTCACCCATCCAACTGTCTTGGAATTCGTTCTTTTGCTGATGCACAAGGTTGTACAGATTTGCATAAAGTGGCTCACAATTATACTATGGTATGTATTTTTAAAAAAAAAACAAAGGTGTATGCGCTTTGCCTTATTATTCCTTATTGTTCTAGGCTTTTCTACATGTCATTGTTTTTAATGGCTCTGCCATGTGCCTTGAAGTTCCGATTCACTCTCTTTGTTGTTGTTAGGTACCAGTGAGTCACTACTGACTTATAGTGACTTTATACTCAACAGAACAAAATGTTGCCCAGTCTGGTGCCAGCCTCACAATCATTGTTATACTTGAGTCCACGGCTGCTGCCACTGTGCCTGTCCATCTCATTGGGGTCTCTTTTCAGTGACCCTCTACTTTATTAAGTATGATGTCCTTCTCCAGAGACTGGTTCCCCCTAATAATATGAAGACGAAATCTGGCCATCCTGGCTTCTAAGGAGCATTCTGGTTGTATTTCTTCCAACACAAATTTGTTTGTTCTTCTAGCAGTCTATGGTACTTTTAATGTTCTTCTCCAGCTCCATAACTCAAATGCATCAATTCTTCTACAGTCTTCCTTATTTATGATCCAAATTTCACATGCATATGAGGTGATTGAAAATGCCATGGCTTGGGTCAGGTACACGTTAGTCCTCTAGCTGACTTCTTTGCTCTTCAACACTTTAAAGTGTTCTTATGCAGCAGATTTCTTGACTGCTGCTTCCTTGAGTGTTGATGGTGGATCCAAGCAAAATGAAGTCTTTGACAACTTCAGTCTTTTCTCCATTTATCATGATGTGTTTTATATCGTCCAGTTGTGCAGATTTTTGTTTTCTTTACATTGAGTTGCAACCCATACCAAAGACTTTGGTCTTCAATCTTCTTAAGTATTTTAAGTCCTCTTCGCTTTCAGCAAGCAAGGTTGTGTCATCTGCATATCACATGTTGTTAGTAAGTCTTCCTCCAATCCTGATGCCAGATTCTTCACATAATCCAGCTTCTCAGATGATGTGCTCAGCATACAAATTGAATAAGTATGGTGAAAGAATACAACCCTGGTGCGTGTCTTTTCTGATTTTAAACCATCCATTCATTGTCCCTTGTTCTGTTTGAACGACTGTTGTTGATCTACAGGTTCCTCAAGAGCACAATTAAGTGTTCTGAAATACCCATTCTCTGTAATGTTATCTATAGCTTGTATGATCCACACAGTCAAAAACCTTTGCATAGTCAGTAAATCTCAAGTTAACATCTTTCTGGTAGTCTCTGCTTTCAGCCAAGATCTATCTGGTATCAGCAGTGATAGCCTTCTTTTCATGTCCTTGTCTTAGTCTGGCTTGAACCTTTGGTGGTGGTGGTGGTGGTGGTGGTGGTGGTTACGTGCCATGGAGTCCGTTCCGACTCATAGCGACTCTGTACAGGGTTTCCGAGGCTGTAAATCTTTACGGGAGTAGAAGCCTCATCTTTCTCCCGCGGAGCGGCTGGTAGTTTCAAACTGCAGACCTTAAAGTTCGCAGCCAAATTTGTAACCACTACACTACCAGAGCTCCATTGCAACCCTTTTTTGAATTATGTTTAGCAGAATATTACTTGCGTGTAATATTAATATTGTCCAATGATTTCTGCATTCCATTGGGTCACTATCTAGCATGTCATATTTTCACTGAGTTCTGAAACAAAAAAACCCAGCAATATTTTTCCTTAACCAGACTGTATGAAACACGCAACATCAGAATTGAAGAAAGATCCGTAAACAACCTGTGATATGCAGAAGAAGGACACAACCTTACTTGCTGAATGCAAGCAGGAGTTGAAACATGAATAACACCTCAATTTAAACAAGAATCTTCACAACTGGACCAATAAACAACATCATGACAAATAGAGAAAATTGAATTTATTTGGATCCACTATCAACGTTCATAGAATCTAAAGTCAAAAAATCAAAGAACATATGGCATTGGGGAAATCTGATGCAAAAGACCTTTTTAAAGTGGTAAAACAAAACAAAACAAAAAACAAAGATGCCACCTTGAGAACTAAGTGTGTCTGACAGAAGTCTTGGTGCCCCAGACATCATGAGAAATCTGGGCATTGAATAAGGAAGATCAAAGAAGAATTGATTCGTTTTTAAATTATGGTGTTGCTGAAGAACATTGAATATACCGTGGACAATCAGAAGAATGAACAAATCAGTCTTGGAAGAATTTCAGCCAGAATGCTTCTTAGAAATAAACATACTTTGGCCTTGTTATCAGACAGGACCAGTCCCTGAAAAAAGACGTCATGCTTGGTAAAGTAGAAGATAGGCAAAAAAGAAGACAACCATCAACAAGATGTATTGACAGAGTGTTTGTAAAAATGGGCTCAAATATAGTAATAACTATGAGAATGGCACAGGACCCAAAAGTATTTTGTTCTATTGTACAAAGGGTTGCTGTGAGTCAAAACCGACTCGATTGCACCTGACATTCACAGTCTATCTCCTAAGTTAAGCCTGAAGTTACTACAATAGCAGTGGTCCAGGAATATTCCCTTTAAGATTTTCATATCTGGTGCTTCATAAAGCAGGGCTTTCCCAAGCATTTAACTCCATAGTGCATGTATGAATTCCTACAGGGTTGCTGATGGAAACTGGGGAAAGTGGCTATGATACATTGTTACAGTACTGACACACATAAAGGAGGATGAGAGGCTTTTTATTAAGGATCCACCTGAATATGAGGGTTTCTCCGCTGAACAACTGGGAGTTTTGAGCTGCTTACCTTGAGGTTAGCAGCCCAACTTATAACCACTACATTACCAGAGCTCCTTTATTATGATACCTATTGATTATATGTCAGGAGGCATTTGTAGCCATGTTTAATGATCTTAGTATTTGTAGCAAATTTGCCTTCACAATAATTCATAAAATGGGTTCTGAATCAAAAACATGAAGGATCATGAATTGAATTGATCTAGGCCAGTGAGAAAATATGGGCATGTTAAAGACATGCTGTTAGGATGAGTTTCCATGGTCTTAACATTAGAGGTGTAGTGAAGGAGAGAGTATGTGGAGTTGTAAGGACTGCCCACTTGTCACATTACAGCACTTAGACCTCTCCTCCCTTGAGTACTGATTGAAGACTGTTGCTATAAAAGCTTAAATTAGGGCTGTACAGTTTCTGAGAATGTGACCATTTGCATACATATCTACAGTTACCCTTATTACTGATTTTCTCACACACATACCAACCTTCTCCAGCCCCCATTCTTCCATTGAGTTGGTGTCTCTATAAAAGGATTAAAAATACTTTAGGAATCTTTCACTAGAGTAAACACAGAATTTGGAAAGATTATAAGAAATGGATATTTATAAATATTAAGAAGATTATTCTACCTACCTGGTAAATTTTGACGTGTAGATTGAATGAGTTAATAGAAATTAGGCATTTGAAGTCATATGTCCTGGTGTGGCACTGTGGGATAATGCACTGGACCGCAAGGTTAGTCTGAACCGCATGGTTGGTGGTTCAAACTCACCAGCCGTTCCTCAGAAAGCCTATACAGGGTTGCTATGAGTCAGAACCTGCTCGATGGCACTTAACAACACCAACAACTCAGTCAATAAATGGTGTCCTCCTTATTACTGTCATCACTATGTACATGTACTCTGTTTAACACGATAAGAGATTTCGGGGAGAGGATAAAGAGCATTCAGAAACACACTTTGCAACTTTTTTTACTTCCTGTGGTGTAACCACTTCACAGGAATATTTCTTATTTATGACAGGCATGTGGTCTCAGAAGAAAATAGAGGATGTACCATAGGACAATACTGTACAGACTTAGCATGACATTCGGTTAACCTCTTTTAAATGAACTCTTTTGAAAGTTCCCTTCCCTGTCCCCCTTCCCCCCACTTTTATTCTTTTTTGTACATTTCTCATTTTAAACTTATACTCACAATTTCAATACTTTCTAGCATAAGAGGACTGTAAATAATTAGTTCATACTGTAAGTAAAATCTACTTCTTACAAGGGGTTTTCTTCACATAAAAGCATTTACATGCATTTAGGTCACTCTGGTTGTTTATAGTATTGCTGCTTTAAGGCTTTGACATAAATTAAATTTAAATTAGCTGGATGTTTTTAAAGCTATTTTCATAGCCAATTAGTTGTGGTAGATTTTTTTTTTTTTTCTCAAGGCCATTATTTGATGTTACTCAATTTCAACAGGGACATAAATTGAATTCTAATAACAATAAGTAATTTAGAAGCAGATTGTCTGGTTTGAATTGTTGCTATGGGAACTGAATGAAAATGTATAGGAAAACTCAATCTTCAATTAAAACAAATCCCTCAGTAATTTCATTTGCTATAAAAAACTATTCCAAAGAGGGAAAGGGCATAATGCTAGCAAATGTTTGCTAGAACGATAGTTGTTTGCTTCATAAAATGGATTTAAAATATAAAGTAAGTGTAGTACCATGCCAGCAAAATCAATTTTATAGTCAGTAAATGGTCCGTGTACTTGGGATGGTCACTGATCCTATCTCAGTATAAGCAGGAAAGGATGATGATCCTTGAGTATAGAAACTTTGGTTCGCATTCTGACTACCACTGAATGTGGAAAGTCATTTCATCTTCAAAAGCATATAAAATTAGTTATATCATTATAGCTGTTTAATGATACAGATTTACGAAACAAATGTTAACATTTACTTTTAAATTGTTGATTCCAGATCTGTAACATATAATATGTAATTTTCATGAAAAGACCTTTTGTTTAATGTTGAGTCCAATCATCTTTTTTTTTTTTTTTTAATGTTTTATTGTGAATTATGTGATAGTTTCCATGGGAGAACACTAGCTTTACATTCATCCTATCATATATCGTTTCATTGCCATGATTACAATCCCCTGCATGCATTCTCAACCAACCAAAGGGTATACCCTGCAAACCTACACACACACACACACACACACACACACACACACACACCGCCCACCGCCCCACA